GCGCGATGGCACACCACTAATCCGTTTAACAACAACAATTGAGTCGTACAACTCGCGTACGGACTACACGAGTGTACGACACATAGCTGATACATTGTGTATTTTCTCTCATCCGTTCATGAACAGAGAAACTAACAAAATAAATTAAACAGTACGCCGTATAGTTTCTAAATGCCAAGTATTTATGAATCACGTAGAGATAGGTGTGTGTACAATAAGTTTACACGCCGCCGTCTGGCCTCGGGCCGCTGCAGGCTGCTCCATGACGTCACGGTGATAGATTGGGTCAACAATCAACACCATCTCGCCGATGATAGCATACACCAGAGATTACTCTCTGCGATATTTAGATCGTCCTTTCAGTTTTTACGTCCATCGGGCGACAAGGACGTCTCGCTTATCTCGATGTCCGCCAGCCTCGCACATATGATGCTTGCTGTGCAAACATAATAACATGGAGTGCTGATAATATACTTACCTAAGTCTTTGTGCAAACTGAGACGTATCGCATATGAGAACGGCGGCCATACATCATGTACGGCAATGAAAGCGTAACAAATTGTGTATTACAGTAGCGATGCAATAGAGAAAAATGATTAGAGACATTACGAACTGTTGTCTGTCGGAGGCCACGCCTAACAAACCATGTAAATGTCGTCCTACAGACAAGGGAGATTTGCATACCAACCGTTTGTATTTGCGAATGGCGTCTAGCACCGAGAGCTTGTCGAAATTCGCAATGCTAATAATACAATGGCCAGACGCACCTCGTGTAGCAGCGCATCTGTCGAATTCAATCGAACACATCAAATAAGCAACCTTATACTACAAACGACAAGTCGCTGTTTACCTTGAATGCTAGTGATCAATAACGAAACGAAGAACTAGACACATAATTTAGTGTTCTCCTTAGACTGAGTGAGCTATTGCAAGGCATTTTCGCTTTATTTATGAATCATTTTAAACGCTACAATCGCGTGACGGCTACAACGCAAGGAGGTCTTTGTAGGCTACGCCGCCGTCGTATTCATGGATAACTTTCGACAGTCATTGAATGGAGGGTTCGATGACCCGACACCAAAGCGTTGTTCGAATTTGCATGTGTCAATGACACGATCTGCACCGACGGCGGCGCGCACCGTTGCGGCCTATACTTTTCCTTTCAGTCGTCGTTCACCGAGAAACACTTCGGGCTGACCTCGTGACACAGCTGCATCACTGTTCTGGCACTGATTCTTTTTTAATACCACTGTTTGAGATTTAGATAACGAGCGATGCACAACACAATTCTGTACACTGAATGAACGTGTATACAACTTATGTAATCGGAAGTCAGCTTTTATTTTTGCATAGCTCATACAGGTGTTCCCATTGACGTGCAAGCACAGCTTAAAATCTTGTTATGACGGAGCCGAGGCCCGCTCAACAGGTGGCCGCTATAAACGTAACCCACTTTTCCACTGTTCGAATACATTCGTACAATAGTTAAGTTGCCGACAAGTCGAAAGATAATGTTGGAGGAAAATTAATATCTAGCAAAGAGTTTAGCAAGAATCTTCCGGCCATCAAACACGTCGAGTCGGAACGTGCGAAATCCAATAAAGAAGTTGCGGCACCTGCGCCTTATTACATTCTTTTGGTGATGCTCACCGGTCGGTGCTCCACTGAAATTCGCCCAACTTTCCATGCCAGGAGATTGCTTGTTGTACAACTTTTACTTTGAAAATTCGTTCCATTAGTATCAGCGGTGGAACGAAAGTTTTATCAACGAAATGTTTTCATAATTCAGTATTAAATTCCGCTCCGTTCCGTATTCGACTGCCGCGATTGAAGAGGGTATAAAGCTTTCGCTCACGTTACATTTTATTCTAATGCAAAATTGTAGATATTAACATTGTTCAACACTGAATTGCATTTATCATAATAAATAGTTTATTGTTATATAAATAATAAATAGACACATTTCGACATGTATGAAACAATGGCGCTCCCTTGTGGGTGTCGCGATCTTAATTGCAAATGTGATATTAGCATATGCGCTTTGTGAGTTCTTGAATGGTGCGGGCCCAAGGCAATGTGTGATGTCCTTTAAAGCAATAGATGGATGTCACCACGACCACAACCTGGATACTAAATTAATTGTCATACTTGTATGAATCTCAGTTCAACTAGGATGCCTGCATGACTGTATTGCTATGTTCATGCCACCTACTCAGCTGCATTAAAAGTTTGCATAATGTGCGCAGTCGCTCTGGCACAAGTTAAATGAAATGCGTACAATATATTCACAGTTACACGATGAAATGAAGCCAGTTTAACATTTTATAAAGTCCAAAACGTTGTTCCGACTAATGTAAGTAGTACATAACTGTGCTCACTGCAGCGTATTTAGCTACTAATTAATAAATAGAACACTCTAAACATAGTTTTCCGAATGGCAGCGCCGAGGAAATTATAATTAGTAACTGTGTGTGAAACATAATTGGTTTGCACCCATTACATAGCCGATGTACGTATGTATATTACGTTTGTTTGCAGGCTTAAGTGACTCACGAAGGTGAAATAGAAGAGTGTACTGATAGCAAGGATGATGAAATAATGGCGCGAAATTAATGAAAATTATGACTAAGACAGTTCAAGATTAATTATTTAATCGTTGCTATAATTTTCATTTCCTAATTTACGAACCAATAATAGTCAAGGACATTAAGATTCACGATATCCGATGATATTTTCCTCAATAATTTAAACCTAAATTTTACCAATATGTTTATTCAAACGATGGAACCATTTAACTACAGTAGATACTAACAGTTTTAATTACTTAACTAATTCAACGTTTTATTACCTAACGGGTTTATTATCAGCTATCCGGTATTATTTGTGTAATTTACCGTCAAGTTTAGCTTGTACAGTTTCTTATCATCTTCGAAATTCATTAGTAATTCTAATTTTATTAAATTATATTTACCTTCTCGGTCGTGAACTTGTGTTAAAAATGATTATGTACAAACTACAAACGTGATTGGTTATCAAAGGTCAATTTAATATACATTTAGGTAGGTATAAATTGTTTTTAATGACAACTATTTACGTATCTTTGGAGACTAATAAACAGTATCTTTAAGTTGCGTAACAACTAGAAATAGAGTACGTCTGTGGCTTCCGAAATATTGCGACCAAATACTAACTTTAGTGTTCATTTCGAATGTGTACACCGAAGATTAGTTTATCGCTAAAGTTTAATTAAGACACGTAATGGTATAAAGTAGAGATAATACAGAGTAAAGTGTTCCAACTTCCAACAGTTATTAAAATGAAGTTATCACTCGCGTCGTATAACATTATCACTGTATATTTCACTTTGTAATTAAATGGGTGACTTTCTTTATTTATTACTTTGAATTAGTGTCGGGTTGCTATGCTATGTTATTTATGTCACCATGTTCAGCTAATTACTACTCTAATTGTAACGTAGTGACAAATTACTCGGCTTAAAGATACTTGATACTTGCGGGGTGCATGTTGCGTGCAGTAACTAAAGGCCCCGTTTAAAATGTGTCAAGTTTAAGCACTTGTTCTCACCAGTAATGCGATGCAAAGAGCACATGTGGCCAGTTTGTATGTAAAGCTGTCTGTAAAGACTTCATAGGTATGCATTACGTGAAATATCTACGGACACAGACATATAAATAATTCAGTTATTAGTACTTTAGTGGACGGCTGATGAATACGCGTAGAATTTTAATTCAACTTCCTTCTTCCGCTAGTTCATAGACCCTAACAACAATTTCAAAATTATATGCTAATAGGATATTTTAAAATAACATTCAAACTTTGAAGTAAAATTACTGGTACAGTACCGGTAATGTGTTGCTATAAAATATGCAAGAGCAAAGTTCAAAGCTACACAAAAAACATCTTGATAGATTACCGTAAATTAAATTAAAGAATTAAGAGCCTATGCGAAGTACACAGACGATGGCTCAAGGTGAAACTGTTTTGTCTTTTTGGATTCCATACTGTACGGGCTCGGAGGGATCAGGCTGTGGATCAGTCCTCGACGAGCTAGGTCCTTGTGGAGAGCAAGTGGACTGTATAATGAAACTGGAGAACTCTTGTACACTGATATACTTTATTACGATGATAATGTTAACAACACTAGTGGAGATGAAATTGACAATATTACGATCGACTGGCTATGATCGACTTTTTACATAACGACTACATACACTGACAATACATTGATAACTCATTGACGACTCATTGACAACTCATTGACAACTCATTGACAACTCATTGACAACTGATGCGCCTCGCCGGGTACAGTCCTTTTATATGCGAGGCGCGCGGACAGGATAATTCCTGTTGATCGGGGCACGCGACTCGGCCGCTCTGCGACGTTGAGTCATGTTTGTACATGCTCAAAGGCAAGTTCAAACCAAGCAGCGGCGGCGCGGAACAAAGGATCGCCGCCGCGCGCCTTTGATGTTCGTGTCTGAACTTGCCTTTTCGTCATGGTTCGGACACGTTCGGAACACGTCGCGGGTGGCTTGCGACCTAGTATTGCCGTCGTGCACATTTCTCCCGCCGTCGCCATCAGGCGACTCCATGGTGAGCACGACAATGCGCTTCGCCGGTCTTCGGAGTACGAGTCGTCTGTTCATGACGATGTGGTCTACTCGTACCTCTCCATCTGTGTCTGGCAGCACCTGTATCACCCTTCCTCTAAACCAACTGTTGCGTGGGAGGTAAGGGTCGGAGATCACGACGACGTCTCCAACCTTGGGTGGGGTGCAGCTGCCGTAGGGCTCCCGCTAGTCTTGAAGAACCGGCTGGTATTCACGTACCTATCTTGCCAAAACGGCGACACCGGTGGTATAAGCTTCCAGCTTATAGACCACGCATTGGACTCACTCCTAAAGCGCTTAAGGCACTTATACCTAGGTCCCTATCTGCCGCTTTGAAATAGGTAGCGAAACTAACCTATACACAATACCTATACTTTCCTATAATTATAGACTAACCTATGTCTACAAACTAACTTATACCTATATACCTATAATCCTATAGAACTATTCTAACCTGTACTTATATTGTTCCCGCTATTGTGCAATTGTTTATGCAAATACATAATACCTAATTTCTTATACCTGTATTTACTTTTGAATATAACAGGGTATTTTGATTTTGCATTTACGTTTGCCACCGCTGTGATTCTCCCGCGCAAACGTAAAACACGTGCGCTTGCGCCACATGTACTTAACGCTGATAACGAGCTGTTGCCGGCCGCTGCTTTTTTATCCTGTATGGCGGCGGTACCCTTTGATACGGTTTCGGCCGGCAAGTGCTTGTCCTTTTGTTCTTTGGCGCGTTGAGCGTAAGCAGCAGGTGTAGGTATGTACTTATCTGGACTATTTACTTTGTTGACCACATGACGATTGACTTGTTCTTCGTCCTTACCTAGGCACCGATCTCGATCTAGGGTACTTAGGTGGTTGTTAGGTTTCCTAGGTTCTATACAATATATTGATTTTGATTTGAAGTTTCTAACGGTTTCTTCAATTGGTTCTGAATTTTCTTTAATACTAATGTGGCCGCAAAATGTTCTTCTGTCTTTATTTACTGAGTAATGACATCCATGTAATACCCAACCGAGTTTGGTAAAAGATGCTACCGGTTGATCGCGCGCACCTGTGCGTGTTTTAGTAGCTGCTAATAAATGCCAGTTATCTTGACCTATTAAAATCATCGGTCGCGCGCGGTCATAAACAAGAGTGCTTCTTATATCGTTCAAATGCCTACAATTGTTTAAGTCTTCTGTGTGTACAGTCTGCGCCATGACTTCCAACCTGTTAACGGTGCGCGCTGCCCCTATCTTCTGCGGGATGCTGTGGTACTTGCCTTGTATGTGGAGACTAACAGTGCGGCTTTGCTCATGTTTGACGTCCGTACCTAGGCCTTGTATCTGCATAGGACTAGCTGGCCCATCTGCACCTAGGATGTCTGCCACTGTCGCGTCTAACAAGGTGACTGTACTCCCATCGTCTAACAAGGCGTATGTGTCGATACTCGTACGTGGTCCGCGTAACGTCACAGGAACTATCTTCAAGTACGCGCGGCGATTCCGAGGCGAAGTCGTTGATACTGTTTCGCGCGCTGACGTCACGGATTCATGTGTGATAACGGGCGTCATTGATGGCGGCGCGTGCGGCGGTCTGATGTGTGTCGTCTTATCATCACGCTCTTTATGCAACAGTTTGTGATGTTTCATGTTGCATCCCTTGATATCACAAATAGGCGCTCTGCACATATATCTTCTGTGTTTATTTCGTAAACATCTAAAACACATCTTATTATATTTCGCTATATTCCACCTAGTTTCTATGTCTAGCTGCTTATATTTATTGCAGTCCGGTAATTTGTGGCCGTGTTGTTTACATGCCGGGCATGGCTCACTTGACGTTCTTTTACTCACGATGAACGTGCGCTCAACTCTGCGCCGTTGTCGTACATCAATGGCGTTATCACTAACACGCTCCAGCAGCGCGTACGCGCTACACTTGTCGGCCTCTTCATTCATAAACATAGATAACAGTTTTAATACGGGAATATCTTCATGCTTTCTATTAGCCGCGTAATCATACCATTTATTTCTTAATATTGGCGTTAACTTTTCTATGATATTACGCGACATTTCGGGGCTATATAAATACTGAATTCTATTTAGTGCTACCTACCGTGTTTGCAATACGGCTAGCAAATATACAAATATCCCTAGGGTTATCATTTAATCTAGGTAATAACTTTACATTTTCTAATTCTGTCATTATCAAGGCCTCAGGCCTACCAAAACGTCTTTCTAGTGCGTCTAGAATGACCTGAGGGTCAGATTGACTAAATAATAAGCTCCCTACAGCTTCCTTTGCGGCGCCTCTGAGGCTTATCCTAATCCTAGCAACATTTTCTACGCTAGAAAAATACGTGTGTGAGTCACAATACGTGGCCTTATAAGCTATCCACTCACCGGGTTTTCCGTCGAAGACTGGTAGCTGCTGCATGTACTTCGGGGGCTCTCTGGAACTGCGCATGACCTGCGCTAGTGCCGCGGCGAGTGTTCGTACGTCTATCACTTTATCACTCACGTTACCGTGTGACACTTCACTCGCGATATTGCCCTTTGATTTCGCACACACACATTCACACACTTTTCTGTAGCTGTCGTCATCTCGCGGCGGTTGCGCGCCCGCCGGGGCGCCGCTCGCCGTCGTTGTCGCTGCGTGGGCTGCGTCCCTGCTGATGCTCCCGCCGCTGGCGTCGTGTGGCGGCGGCCGAGTCTCGCCTCCGGGTGGCGGCGCGGGTCGCGCTAGCCACGTTCCAATCCTCACGGAGGCGAGGTCGTCCACCAACTCCTCGTCGTCACTCGACTCGGCTTCGGCTAAGGTGCACTGCAGTTGTATTTCCTGCAGCTCTCGTTTTGCCTGCGCTTCACTGGCTTTCATCTCAGCCAGCCGTTTCCTAGCCTCCAGCTCTGCGAGGCGCTTTTTCTTCGAATGTGAACGGCGTGACCTTGTATCGCTGGGCTTGAGCGTACCATGCGTGGCGTCGATGTAGGTAGTCGTCGTAGACCCGCTTCCTGTGTCCGTCACTCGGACCGAGCTCGATTCTGGTGCCGAGCTGCTGGCACCCGGTCCGGCGGTCACTGAAGGCTCTTGCTGGGTCTGCTCTGTCCTGGATTCTCCACTACGGCTGCGTGTTAACACCATCTTGCTAGAACTTTATCCGGCTCGAAGGACCAGAAAATGTACGGGCTCGGAGGGATCAGGCTGTGGATCAGTCCTCGACGAGCTAGGGTCCTTGTGGAGAGCAAGTGGACTGTATAATGAAACTGGAGAACTCTTGTACACTGATATACTTTATTACGATGATAATGTTAACAACACTAGTGGAGATGAAATTGACAATATTACGATCGACTGGCTATGATCGACTTTTTACATAACGACTACATACACTGACAATACATTGATAACTCATTGACGACTCATTGACAACTCATTGACAACTCATTGACAACTCATTGACAACTGATGCGCCTCGCCGGGTACAGTCCTTTTATATGCGAGGCGCGCGGACAGGATAATTCCTGTTGATCGGGGCACGCGACTCGGCCGCTCTGCGACGTTGAGTCATGTTTGTACATGCTCAAAGGCAAGTTCAAACCAAGCAGCGGCGGCGCGGAACAAAGGATCGCCGCCGCGCGCCTTTGATGTTCGTGTCTGAACTTGCCTTTTCGTCATGGTTCGGACACGTTCGGAACACGTCGCGGGTGGCTTGCGACCTAGTATTGCCGTCGTGCACACATACTGTTTATGTATCTTTAATTCCTTCTACAAAACGTATCTCTAAATAATGTTTTATTTTTTGGCTAATTGGTATCGATTAATAAAAACACCTATTTGTTTCCTTCCCTTTTTATGTGTTTTCTGTGGGTTGCGTGTAACAGTCAATTATTAAATTAAGTTTTGATTAATCATAAATTAATTATTAACCAATTATTGCTTTTTACTAATCTGCAACTTTATTTTCATCTCTTAATTACAGGTACGTAACAATTCGCTATGCCAGACGCAAAGGAGTTACGTATACAGTAACAGCTTCGTGTACCGGGTAAGTATCAACATTCATTACTATGACGTCACGCAAACACGTATTGACGTTTCCAAACGTCAATACGTGCTTCAACGTGACGTGTTGATGTTGTGCTTAGTTTTATTCGAGCCGACGATCATACTTTCTTGGGTCATTTTCATTACCTACTTACAAAATTATAAGACTAAGAACATTTACAGAAACACTGAAAATCCAGGAATCTGTGGTCTGCGGTTCAGAAAAAATACGGTGATCCATAATTGCCTCATTGATCTTGTGGTTACCAAAAGAGTTTCACTCTAAGGTAAGACAATTACCTAATATGGCTAACTGGCTTTTTTGCTGAAACAAAATAGTTTTAGCCTAAATAGTTTGGCACCCAACAATGCAACGTTCAGCTTGATCACATAAAAACGTACGCCACGGTTACAATAAGTTTCTCCATGCCTTATAGATCACCAAGATAAGGGCTATACATTTCCAAGGCAGTCAAAAACCCTATCCCAGAGTAAATCGCAAGAAGTATTTTACGGCGTGCGAATTGAAACATGTCGGGTCCAAAATGAGTTGATAGTGCGGACCTCAGGTAATTCTCCGGTGTAACAAACGATTTGGAATGTGTGTAGCGATTTGTCAAGCGGCTAGTATTGGGAGCCGAGTGTTTGCGACAACTGTCCCTCGAAAGCCTCGCGATCTCTTTACGACGTCGTATATCGTACGGTCCGTAATTGAAGGCAACAGTGCGTGTCGTGTTTGTTTCTTCTGACCATGCCGCTCGTTACGATCCAACTGTAAATTTCAACGAATGACGTGCTAATGTAATTTTTATATTGACTTCATACGGAACTGAACATGTAATGCTTTGAGTTTTTGAGGGGATATGTTCGTTATCTCAGCTCCAGACGTGTAGAACATGTATGTTCATTACACGTTAATCTCGTGATGCACATTAATAGATGAATTTTTCCGTTTTTCTAAAACCACTGATTGTCGACTTTTTGATTAAAAGATCTTTAAGTCATTAGTAATAACATGTTTAAATGATTTTAACTCGGACATGCATATAAGATGTAGTAAAATAAGTTCATAAACTACATATTTGAATTTATTCATTCGCTAAAAGGCACATAAAGCGTAAGCTCTAAAACCAAATTTGTTGATAAGTAAAATCTGAAAAAGTCTTGTCTCTCAAGTTGTTCATTTGTAGTTCCAACTCCCTAAGTAAACTCGCAAAAATTTAAGACAAAAACAACGTGATCTAGCAATATTGCAACATTTTACGACGGCATTGTGAACACACATAAAATTTATAGGCGTTAACGTCTCTAGGCTGGCAATAAACAGTTAGTCCGCTGAGTAAGCCGCAGCAGCGCCACGGGACGTTTTAATATTTTCTTGTGTCGACGCCGGCGGCCGAGTTCGGGAGAGCACCGCGGACGCATCACTCCGCAATTAAGGGCCAGACAAAACGTCGTCGACGCGGAGCGAGCGCTTCATCAAATATTAAACCCGGTCTGTACCCGTACGTGAACAAATCCTACAGCGCATTTAATATTTTACTTAAAACGGTCTGCGGTTTCCGCCAGCGGAATTTTCTTGCGGCTTTACACGGCAATTTAAGTTTTGTTTTAGTGGCCACGAGGGCACGCTGCGTGCCCGCGCCTAAATACTTGATGCGATGCTGTTATTATTACCTCCTTCGCAGTTCCGCGGTCCCGTCAGAAACCACTAAACATCTCCGTCGCTGACAGAGGCTACAAAACAATATCCGACGTCGTTAATCCTTTAGTGAAATATGTGACTTAATATTTACCTTGTACGACTTAAATTAATTTTGGCCGGCTCACGAAAAAGCCATTCTGGCCACTATAGCATATACAAAGCGAAGTGAAACAGTCGCTAATGTGTCCACCGAGAACAAATCGTTGAATCGTGCTCGGAGCTCCTGGTTGAATAACGGAAGCTAAATGCGGGGAAATATCAACATTAATCGGATGCGGTATTACCTCTCCAACTCAGTACCTAATGAATATTCAGACAAACTGACACCGCTTGTCTTGAATTTGTAAGAAATAATCCGGCCGTCCGACACCTATAAATCTTTCAGTATCTATCGAGTGTTGAACATTCAAAAAAGGGTCGCTCGGCTATTGTTTACGCTTTAGACAGACTCCAGTATAAACATAGATAAACGTTGCTAGATGATATCAATCGATAGAGAAATTTGTTCGAGTGTTTGCCATGAACCACGCACGACACATCCAGTTAGCGAGCGCACTTTTTGCTTCACTTGACGACCGAAATGCGAGCCACGAAAAAAGGAAATTACTTTCATTAGGCGTTCTATTGCGCGAAAGATAAATGCTTCCAGTGCTTTGTTTCTTATCCTTTTTATATTGTTGTATATGTAGCATTTCAAATTAATGTACATAAATCTCTCTGTTGTCTTAAATCAATCTTAGTCACCGTTACAAAAACGTTAAGGGAGCAAAGCGTATGTACAAACATGACTTATTTCCTCTTGTATTGTGACGATATGGAGTTACAACTGCATCTCACGTGTGTTTATATAAAACACTAAGCATTCTTTCAAAGATATTAATACTCATACAGATTTCGTATAAAGTTTCAACAATACTCCAAAAAGCCTTGTTGAGGAGCAATTCGCATAAAAATTTTATTTTTGTAAAGTCATACATCGTCGTAGCGCACGCAATTAAGCAAACAAGGAGATTTCATTAAAAATAAAAGAAGCTCGCGTCCCCGGTGAACAAGGTACATTGTATTATTTAGTACAGAGATTATTCTTCTCTGTGAATAATGCATGCTGTACGCTCCACAGACATAAAGCGCTTTATAAACTCGGATGTAATACTCTGTGTTTTATTTATACTTTCGTAATTCGTTGAAAATCATTGTGTCGCGAGTATCACTGCTCCCGAGCTTACGATCATACCTTTTAAGGAAAGAATAAAATACAACCCTCCGACAATTTTACTTACATGTTTTATCAGAGTTAAGAGGAATTTTCGTCCAAAAAAATGTTAAGTTTGCAAAATTGTGTATACACCCTGCTGTAAGCGACAGAAGCGAGGAGAGAGATGCATGTTTTCCTTTAACACCGGCGGTGTTTGGAATTCCTGCGTCAATTAAATGCTTGTTTGTAAACACGACAGACACCGAGAACAGTGAACGCGATCATTTTCACGGAACGCGCCTTTCCGCGACCCCCTGCGCCACCGTGCCAGTGTGAGGTTGGACTTAGAGCGCGCCTACTTTAAAAACACGCCACTCCTTTGAACGCGGGGTGCCTATAATGGGTACAACCCTCCCAGGTCAATTGAGCGCTGAACAAAGACGCAAAGGAAGGCTAATTAGTTGCACATTTTGTGAGTCTTTTACACTCCGACCAGTACGAGGGTTACACGATACACACCTG